ATAAAGTATATTTGTCTTTTTATTCAATATTAGTTATTCAATTATTTCAAATTTAGGACATTAAAGCACCCTAGATTTAAAGATTAAGGTTGCATACTTTCTCATACACATTATGTTAAACATTAACAAACATTATTATGTGTTTCCAGAATGATTAAAAAAGGCTAGACAACACAACCTAGCTCTAAAGCAGTAACGCTGCCTGGCACTAAATGCTGCCAAGTCACACCTCTGCTATAAGTACACTGCTTGGCTTGCAAGGTTATCAAACTTGCTCAACATAATACTAAGTCACACCATTTTAAAAACATGGAAACAACATAATTTAAAGATATATATAACTATAAACAAATATGACTTTATATAACACATATAATCACATTTTATAACAATATTAAATGACAGATATATTTATCAAAAACTATGAGAAAAAAAAAAATAATAATAAAGTTATACATACAAAATGTGCTCCCAACCTTTACCAATAAATTTTCGAAATGAAAATCTAAAGACTATAAATTAGAAATTAGAAAATATAACATTATTTGTGTAACACTTTTCACCTATCATACCTTGATAGGATGTTTATCAATTTTGAAAAACAAACTATTAAATGCATTAATTCTTGAAGAGCTCAGTAATTACATAAGTATTTATCAATTCTCCCTGTAATAATTCTTATTTAAGTCTCTAAGAGAGAGAGAGAGAGAGAGAGAGAGAGAGAGAGAGAGAGAGAGAGAGAGAGAGAGAGAGAGAGAGAGAGAGGAAGTGTTTCAAAAGCAGCATGTTAAAAAAAGTAAAAAAGTCATGCAATAAATAACAGTAACTGGTTTTATTATGCTACCAATAAACAAAATTATTTTCACCTTAACTAAAAGTTAATTTCCAGCATTTCTTAATTAAGTTTCAGCTTCTCTCTAACTGTTGACTAATGATTAATATAGTAAATTTCACATCATATTAAATTTACAAAATTAAAACCATGTTTCAACAGTAAGCAAAATAATCAAGTGATGACAAAGGCAATTAAAAAAAAAAACAGAATTATGTTTAAGGTTACAAAAAAAAAAAATTAAAATCATTTAAATTTAAAACTGTTATTAATTGTTACTATAAGTAGTAGAGTTCATACTTTGCTTTATTCTAAAGTGTCTAATGTAAAATCAAATTAATAGACATCAACACCACTTGACACTTAATTCTGGCAAGTAAGTTTTCTGTTCATCGAGCAGAACTTCTTATATGTTAACGACAATTAATTTTATCGTGCCTAGATCTATCTCTTTGATTTGACAACAATTTCAAGTTACCTATAACCATTTACACTAATAACTTCTTCGAGCCTAATATTATACATCTGTTATCATTAAACATATTACCAGTGATTATACTACTGTTACAACTGAATAAATGAACATAAAATAATTTTTAAAAATTGTGAACTTTTCTAATCCAAGACTATATTTTAAATTAAGATTTATTGATATCCATATATTTTCGAAAAAAAAAAAGGAATTCGCTTCCTTCATCTTGCTTTCCTGATTCATATAATTTGCAATCTTTTAAGTCATCAGTCAATCGTTATCTTGCTCTACAGATTTAGTCTTTTCTCTTCCAGTAACTTCCAACTCTTATAGTGGTTGCTTGCAGCCTTGTTGGAAGTGAAGATGTTAAAAAAAAAAAAAAAAAATTTTATAAGTTTATATATAGGAGTCGTTTATTAAAAATATAAAACAAAATTTATGTCAAATATTTTTAACTTTTTTTTTTTTTTTTTCGTATTTTATAGCATTTGAATAAATTTTTTCAGTTATTATATGAAATTAAATGTCTAAATTTTTAGAAAGTTGTAAAGAAAAAAAATACTAATAAAATTATTGATATAACACATGCTAAAAATTAAAAATATTGAATTTTAAATTTTTTTTTAAGATCTTATAATCATTTAACTCTGATGTCATTATCATCTGAAGTTGTGTGCATTACCATCTGAAGTTGTGTGCTTTACCATTTAAAGTTGTGTTCTTTACCATCTGAAGTTGTGTGCTTTACCATCTTAAGTTGTGTGCTTTACCATCTGAAGTTGTTTGCTTTACCATCTGAAGTTGTGTGCTTTAGTACAGAAAACTGTTGCTTTGACATTTACTTGAAGAGCAAGCAATCACAAAACCATCAGCAGTTTTAAAATTTTTGGAAAACGCTCAGTAGCTTTCATGAGTTAGTTTTAATCTTCTAGATTGGAACTAGACTAGATGTCAGGTCAGGTTTATCCTGCTACTGGTAGCATGTAACCCAGTACAATCTGCATCATGTCCTGCTGCCATGTAGGATACGCCTTTTCAGGCAAAGGCTAGGAGATGCCAACTCTAACATAAAACACCCCCTACCTTGGGGTTCTTGGTTGAGTAAAGGCTAGAGATGGTGTCTCAATAAAAATACTCATCTTGGGCAGATGTTAAATGCATCCAGCTGCTGTCTTGTAGAAGGACTCCTAAGCAAAGATATAAGGGGTAACAGATTCAATCTGTTGACCAGCCTCACACCCCTTCTTCATCTATTACGCTGGCGCAGAAGTATTTTTAATACATTGTTTCCAGTTTAGGATGTTGAATGCTGGATTTTCTTGACTCAATGCATGGGTTTTGCTTGTGTCTCATTCTATTATCTCCTAATGAGGATCTATGTTTCGAGTCAAGTTCTTTAACAAATTTAAAAATGAATAAAGTAACAAAAACTATAAAACACATAAAACCACTGTCATCACCAAGTTCGCTAAACCTATCATTCACTAATATTCGTAGTCTTTGAAGTAACTTTTCCTCTGTTGAGTCTTATCTCTTGCAAAGTTCACCAGACCTACTTGCTCTTTGTGAGACTAATTTGAGTTCAGCTGTCTCATCTTGTGATCTTAGTGTTGATGGTTATCTTCCTTTAATTCGTAAAGACTATAATAGTCACATGCTTGGCCTGGGCATTTACATTTGTAAGAATTCACCCATTTGTCAGGACACTAGGTTTGAATCCACAGACTACTCTTTTATGTGCTTTCATTTAGCACTACTTCACTCTAACACCTTTCTCTTAGTTCTATATCGCTCTCCCTCATCTCAAGACTGCACTCTTATTTGGTGTTATTTCTGATCATATTGACCAAGCCCTCTCTCTTTATCCATCAGCCAATAATGTTGTTGTCGGTGACTTTAATGTTCATCACACTGAATGGCTTGGCTCTAGTGTCAGTAACTCTGCAGGCGTTAAAGCCCACAACTTTTCCCTAACTCAAGTAGTCAACTTTCCAACTCGCTTTCCAGAAAACCTGAATCATTTACACTGACTAGGATCAGAAACGATAAAAATTGTTTCTGATCCTAGTCAGTGCTCAGTTTCTCCACATTAACCCTTAGGTGCCTCTGATCACAGTTTGATCTCTCTAAATCTCATTCTTCTTTATCATCAGAATCCCCCTATCATTGTACATCTTACAACTACCTTAAAGCTGGGGCTCTTTCTGTAGTTTTCTTTATGATGGCCCTTTCGTCTTAGAAAGGGCCATCATAAAGAAAACTACAGCCCTAGAAATCTTTCGTCTTCCTGCTGATAAATGTGCTTCTTTCATAATTTCATAGATTCAGGCTGGCATGGAATCCTTTATTCCCTCTCAACGATTCCAGGTCAAGCCTCACTCTTCTCCATGGTTTTCCTCACATTGTGCTGCCATTACTTCCATATCTATCAGCAAAACAATTCTCCAGAAAACAGACGTCTGTTTAATATTGCTAGGAACCATTGTAAAAAGGTTTTGTCTAACGCCAAAGCCCGCTATTCTCAGGTCATGAAATCTTGTATTTCATTACAAATATTAGGCTTTCGTGACTTTTGGAGAATCTTTAATAGTATCAATAATAAAGGAAAGTCTGTAATTCCAGCTCTTTTGTATGGTTCAGACTTTGTCACCTCGCCTTTCTGATCCTGAATATATAGATTTCGATCTTATTCTATTTCGATTTGTCACCATACTTTCTGATCCTGAATATATAGATTTCGATCTTATTCTATGGCTGATTTGCTAACAGTTATAACCGATAGGTTTTTTTGTGCATTAGATAAAGGCTGAGAGGTTAAGGCTATCGCTCTTGACATTTCTAAAGCGTTTGATAAAGTTTGACATGCTGGTCTTCTCCTTAAGTTTTCTTCTTATGGTGTATCTGGTAACATCTTTAAGATTATTGAATTCTTCTTTTCTAATTGTAGTATAAAAGTTGTCCCTGATGGTCAGCATTCTTCTTCTTATTCTGTAACTTCAGTGGTTTCTCAGAGTTCTAGCCTCATCCTTATAATTTTTTTAGTTTACATTAACTATCTTCCAGAAATTCTTACAACTAAGGCGGCATTGTTCGCTGATGATACTAACATTTATTTATGTCTTGGTAAGAATCCAACACTCTTTGATTTCTTGGAGGGGGTATTTGAGCTCGAAAAAGATCTCACTTCTGCTACAGCATGGGGCTCTCAGTGGATGGTAAACTTTAACTTTGATAAAACTCAATTTTTTTCAGCTAATTGTCATCCCAATAATCTAGATCTTCCTATATTTATGAACGGTAATGTACTCAATGAGTCATCTACCCTTCATCTTCTAGGATTAACTCTTACTTCCAATATTTCTTGGAAACCATATATCAAATCGATTGTAAAATTAGCATCTGCTAAGTTTGCATCTCTTTATTGTTCTCGCCACTTTCTTACACAAGATTCTATTCTTTATCTCTATAAATTTTAAGTCAGTCATTTTATGGAATAATGTTTAAAAAAATAATAATGTTCCAAATTTCAGAATTAGTTATAGGCTGTTTGAATTGTTTCTTAGATGATTTTGCTTTTGTTTTTCAAATAGAAAGTTATTTACCATACTATACTTTAGTTTAAGATAATTCCCTAGAACTATAATATACTATAGTTCTAGGGAATTATCTTGAATAAAAGCTTCTTTTTTCTTGCAGGAAATGAAAAAGTTTATTTACGAAGCAAGCTCTACGGTACCCGCATCAGCTAGTATGAAAGTTATTTTTTTTTTATTGTTAAAAAATATTTTTAATAATTATGGCATTTTTTAACTTAAAACTTTATTTCCAGATTTGTCAGATGAATTATGGAAAAGTCATTTTGAAAAATACGATGTTAATTTTTTTGAGTTTTGTGACATGGAACTTGCCAAAGTTAACACTTTCTTTGCTGGTAAAAATTTTTATTGTTTTATTTTAAACTTCTCTCAACAAAGTATGTTTAAAAAAAAAAAATTCTTTATTTTCATTTTTACATTTTTCATTTAGAAAAGTTGTCAGAAGCAATGCGTAAGTTTACCAATTTACAAATACAAATGGCAAATGCAGGAATTCCAAGCCTTCGTTATGTTGTAAATAGCTCCCTTATTGTGCGTAAAAGAGATGGGTCTGAGGCGCACTTTGGAACTCCAGTTAAGCCTAAAACACAAACTCTTTCAAGTAAAAAACTCAAAGAAATGAAGTTTGTAGTCAGTGAATTCTATCTTAGCTTAGTTCTTATCCAAAATTTTCAGGTAAATGTTCTTACTTTTAAAACTCAACCTGTTTTTAAAAATTATTTATTTACACTTTTTAAACCATTCTTAGAATTTAAAAAGATTTTTTTTATAAATTCTTAGTTCTCCCAATTTTGAATCTTATTAAACAAATTTTTGACACGTAAAGTTCTATTTAAGTTTGCCAATAATTTACTTCTGTGTTGGTTTTTTTTAGAAACAAACTTTGATAATATTTAGATGAAAGTAACACAGTTTAGAATTATTATGACATCATAGTTTTTATGCTAAATGTCTCTGAGTATTTTTATTGTGAAGGTTCATCAAATCAAATAAAAATTTTGCATGGTTTTTATAAGGGAGTAAAATGTTTTCTCTTGTTTAAATATTCTTCTATATATATATATATATATATATATATATATATATATATATATATATATATATATATATATATATATATATATATATATATATATATATATATATATATATCAATGACTAAATGAAAATTAAATATTAGGGCTCTATCTTAACCATGCCTTAATTTTAAATATTTAAATTTCTTCTTTTATGTTTCAGCAACTGAATTTCACTGCATTTCGAAAAATTTTAAAAAAGCATGACAAGGTATTTTTTTAGTACAACTCAAAATTCAATTTCATTATTTTTTATTACTGTTATCATTATTTCATTTATTTATTATTTCATCACTTTTAATTATTTTAGATCTTCAAAACAAAGAGTGGTGCTGAATACAGAGTAGCAAATATTGAATGTTCTCCTTTCTATACCAACACTCAAATAAATACTCTTATTCTAGATACTGAGGTAAACAGTTAAAAAAAATTTTTATAGATACTGATACAGTAAATTTTTTTTATAAAATAAAATCATTTTAAGTTAAAGTCATTCTTTAGTATCAAATTACAACTTAATAACATAATTAACATTTTATAATTGCTCTAATTATTTTAATTGATCTAATTAATATCAAATTAATTTCCATTCAAAAATAATAATAGAAAAGTATACTATTCAAATAAAAATATTCCAGTATCATTAATTAAACTATTTATTATTGTTATTTTTTTTAATTTATAAATTACTTTAATGATCAAAACATTGATGTTGTGTTTTGTTGTTTAATTGAAGCTTTTTGTGTTGTTTGATTGAAGCTTTTACTAATTTGTAATTGCTCTGTTCTTTTAAGAACATTGAGCACTCTTTTTGTAGAATACATTTTAAATTGTTTAAATATATATTAGGCTCCTTATTAACATTTGTTGAGCACTCTTAATTGTATTTTAACATTCCGTGTAAATATGGAAACTAATAATTTCACTTACTCCTTGAAAAATATACCTATACTAGATGAAAAAAGTTATACTATTTCTTTGATTGAAAAAGTTGAGCATTTTATAAAAAGAATTCGTTGGAAAGCACATTTTTTCTTAAAACCAAATACAAACACAGATGATGTATTTAATAATAACCAAGATAATGATAATTATGGATTTAAAACAAAAAATACCCCACCTTTCATACCTGATTTGGAAAATTTTGAAAATGACCTATTGCATTTAATTAAAACAATAAAGTTTTGCGCTATAAAAAACAAATTTCAAACAGAATTAAAGTTAGATGTTAAAAAAATTAAATCAAACCCTAATATTTTGGTTTTTGCTGATAAAACAAATAACATTTACCAACTTACAACAGAAAACTATGAAAAAATTTTACGCGACAATATTACTAGTTCTTATGAGAAAGCCCCTAAAAATTTGGAAAATGCAATTAATTTAGAAGCGCAAAGTATTGCTAAAAAGATAAGCCTTGATAACAGAATTGAATCGACTGCTCCTGCCCAAGCCTTTGTAACACTAAAAGACCATAAACTAAATTTTCAAAACAAACTTCCTTGTAGGTTATTGGTTCCCTCAAAAAGTGAGATTGGACATGTAAGCAAAATTAAATTGCACAAAATTAACAATATTCTTAGAAATAAATTAAATTTGAAACAGTGGAAAAATACCACTGATGTTATAAATTGGTTCTCCATAATCGATAATAAAAATGACTGTACATTTATTCAATTTGACATTAATGATTTTTACCCCTCCGATAACTGCAGATATTTTAGATATAACAATTGAATTTGCAAAAAGCCACGCAGTTATTCCTGAAGAAACAATTTGCGTAATAAAACATTGTAGAAAAACCTTACTTTATTTTAATAAGGAAACTTGGAAAAAGAAAAACATACATAACTGCTTTGATGTAACAATGGGCAGTTATGATGGAGCAGAAATTTGTGAATTTGTTGGATTATAAATTTTAGATTTATTAAGTAAAATAATCAATATAAATGATTTAGGCCTTTATCGCGACGATGGTTTAATAGTAATGCATAAAAAATCTGGTCCACAGCTTGATAAAATTAGAAAAGATATTATAAAAATTTTTTAAAATATTGGCTTTCAAATTGAAATAAACATAAATTTAAAAATTGTGAACTTTCTTGATGTCACATTTAACCTCTCGGAAAATACATATAAGCCTTTCAAAAAACCAAACGATGAATTATTGTATATTAATATTAAAATCATCCACCCCAAATTCTAAAACAAATCCCGATTTCAATTAATAACAGGCTTAACCAAAACTCCTCTAATGAAAATGTATTCAATTCCTCCAAACAGATATTTGAAAATACCCTTAAAAAAAGTGGTTTTGAAAACTTTGAATTAAAATTTGACCCTGAAAAAAAGAATACAAAAAAGCGAAATAGGACTAGAAATGTAATTTGGTTCAACCCCTCATATAGCAAAAATGTTTCCACAAACATAGGAAAAGTGTTTTTAAAATTGATCAATAAGTATTTCCCGCCCTCTAATAAACTACATAAAATTTTTAATCGAAATACTATTAAAGTTAGCTACAGTTGCACAAAAGATATGGAAAGAATTATAAAAGGTCACAACAATGCTTTGTTAAACAAAAAAGAAATCCAAAATGAAAAAACTACAGAAAATTGTAATTGTAAACAAAAAAACAATTGTCCAATGAGTGGAAGTTGCTTATCAAAAAATGTGGTATATAAATGTGTTGTCTCTTCTAAGAATGTACCTGATAAACAATATATTGGCATAACAGAAGGTGAATGGAAAAAACGTTTTGCCAATCATAAGCAATCTTTTAAAAATAAAAAGTATTCAAAAGACACCTTGCTGTCAAAATATATATGGGAATTAAAAGATAAAAATATTGATGATTTTACACTGAATTGGTCCATCATTAAAACAGTGCCTGCATATAACAATATTTCCAAAAAATGCATACTATGTCTACAAGAAAAATTTGAAATAATTACACATACAAACCAAGAATGTTTATTAAATAAAAAATTGGAATAGATTTCTAAATGCAGGCACGAAAATAAGTTTCTCCTAAAAAACTATAAAAATAAGTGAGCTCAAATAAGAGTTACATTAACTCCCCTTTGAAAAAAATATATTATTTTTTAAAAAAGCTTAAGTAATCATTTCTAATAAATTCTTTTTACAATAGTGTCAGCAAATTACATAAATGTGTGAAAAATTGCAGTAGTTAAGAAATGTGACTTGTAATGTGACCTGTAATTTAATTTTTGGTATAAATTGAAGTTTTATTAATTTGATCATTCATTTCTGATGAGTCTTTATTGATGAAACACAGTGTTAAATGAGAAAAAATTTTGCTAAGTGATTTTCTACTAATTTATGTATATATATATATATATATATATATATATATATATATATATATATATATATATATATATATATACACTCTTACATAGTCATTTTGAAGTTTTAGGGTTAGGACTATTGTTATTGTTATTGTTAAAATTAAATACACTTACAATTGCAATACAATAATATTGTATTGTAATACCAGAAATGCAATTAAAACATTGTTTATGGTTATTGTATTGCTGTGAATAAAAACAGTTACAATAACTATTGTATTGTTTTTTTTTCTAACAATACATTGAAGCTCTAAAACTATTGTATTGTATTGCTGTGATGTAAAACAATTGCAATGAATATTGTATTGCTGGGATAAAAAACAATTACAATAAGTACTGTGGTGTATTGTATTACTATTTCTAATAGCTATTGTATTTTATAGTATTTAGATTCTTTTTTCTCACATTTATTTTTATTTGGGCACTAAAAAATTTGGCAGTGCCCATGACGCTCGTTTTCAGCAGTCATTTATATATATAAATTTTATTTATTTTGAGAAGTGAAGTGAAGCCAGGAGAGCCAAAGTATATATATATTACGTATATATATTACGTATACTTAACAAATATTAAGTTCAGGGGCGCACGCGGTACCCGTTTCTAGCTATCATTTACATATATAAATTTTATTTATTTTGAGTTCAGTAATATAA